ACTTGGGATGGATGCCTTGGTAACATTGTGGAGACCTTGTGGAGTCCAAACTGACGTCCGATGACATCGTCAGCCGAACTGACGACCGATGAAATCGTCAGCATCGTTCGTGGTGACGAGGACGCCAGTGACGAGGATGCCAATGACGAAGATGATGCTGAGACCGCGCCTGTGTGCCAGGCCAAAGAATCTTTTTCCAACGCCGACATCATGAAATGCATGCGAAAGATGCGCACCTACCTTGGCAGGTGCAGCAATGCCACCGACTAAGAGCATAACCACGTGGACAGCTTCGAAGCGTTCGTCCTGCAGCAGTTGAGTGGCACCCGCCATACCAGGATCACTGACTTTAAAAAATAAATAAACGTGGAATCATTCCAGGATATTTTGCGTTTTGTGTCTTTTCTCAATCGTCATAAAAGCATGCGTTTGCGGATATGCACCTAGCAAAGGTTGGTAGGTGACGTTTGTTGCGTTTGCGATTTTTAGTGCCAATTTTTATGTTATCATTAAAACGATGTTTCAAAATAACGAACGATTTTCCGCAGTCCCTTCTAATTCGTAGTATCGAGATTTCACAGTAGTTAATTTCTTCCCCAGTCAATTTCTGTAAAATTCCCTCTTATACATGGCAGTTTTGGCATTGCTGTTGCTATCCAATGGATTGCTCTTGCTGGCACTGGAGCTTTCATATCGAGCAGCGGAAGCAATGTCACATGATTTGTTAAGTTGTCCATGTAATCAAAACAACAGTGCCACATCCCTCCTCAGGTTTTGTTATCGCCCCATTTCACTGTCAGTAATTCTGAGCGCAAACTGCGCCTACAGGGTTCGAGCAGCTTCAGAACTGCAGTAGATCATTTTGTCAAGATTACACCCACTTCATGAACGTTACAGATTATTCTAGAACCTATGCCGGCTCTAGAGATAATGCTAGAATATTTAATGGCAAGTGTATGAATGCCGACTTGCTTCAACGCTTGCGAGTCGATCGACGGCTTATGCTCTGTTCGCCACTATCAGAGCCCATGTGTCGCTCTAATCAGACCTTCAGTTTCCTGGCCGCAAGTTCGGCCGAAAAAACAGCTTCACCTCAAAACCGAGTCCACTTCCTTCGTCGACGTCCCGATCACATGACAATATTGTTGGCGCAGGCAAACGTGTTCAAGAAAGTGCATCGCATGAGATTCAAGTCCACTCCGCCATTCTAGAGTGAGCAACTTTTCTTGCTTCACGGAGACTCCCGCTCTGAATCCACTAAGACATTCTCATTGGAATGCTAGACACCCACCCTCACTCTCTTTGGAATGAACTTTCTTCAAATTGTGAAGAAAAACTTGTACCGACTCCACTGCTGGAGTTCAACACTAATATCCTGTTATTAAAATAAATTGTCCATTTTCAACTTGGCTCAGGATGTTCTCAATGCTCGTATGCAAAGCACAAGATCATGCACAAAGGTTTCACTGATTATACATTGAAAGGCATGCAGATTGTATGGAATAAGCACGTCCAGGTATGCAGCATCATAATGTACATGATATTTGGAGCTTTCACACAAACGTATATGACTTCATACACATTTGTTCTTTGTTTCCCTGTATTGTGCGAGTTGCCACAAGAGGCAGAACGTTGGCTGTTGCCACAGATGAGGACAGCATCAGAAGTGCTGCCATGCCTGCATTCCCAGATGTGGTACGTAGCACCCTTAACACTCTGACAGCCATCTCCCCCACAACACCTAAGTGACTTTGCAGTTACTGCTGCACACTAATAACACATCTGCCTCTTTGCCTCGCAGAAACTGAACCAAATTTACAAGGTGTTTAAGGTGAGAAAATAATGCTTAACATGCTGGCCCACACTACTCCATGGCTCCTTCGTCAATGATCAGTTGATCCCCAAATGTAAGTGCTTAGCTTTTAAAGCAGTGCATCACATCTTGCAATTGCTACACTTATTACAGGATACACGCAGAGATGGCTCAGTTCCAACTTTTTTTTTGAGTCCTGTTCGCTATGATCAGAACTGGTAAAACACCTCAACTCTTTCGCTACCACGGGAAAAGGGGCAGTTTTTACTACGTGTAAAAAACATTTTTTTGCCGCTACATACAAATGCCTTATTTAAATCCTTTGGCACCAAACTGTGGCTAAAAGAATGTTCTGTCCAATAACATACACATTGCATATATATTTAATACACACATTACGACAATGTTTATTTTGAAAAGGTACAGTGATTATACAATTAACACTTTAAAATGAGGATAACATAAAAGTAATTCAAGATATACAATTTGTAGCTTATGTTGCAAAAAGGTTGTACAAGTTTCAAAAAAAAAAAAAAAAAGTGAGGGTGCGGCAGTAGATGGGTTATTCTGTGCAGCTTGCCATCGCAGACGGCGTCTGTCTGCTCAGAGTCCATAACACTTAGAAAAGCAAGGAATGGAAAAAAAAACAGCTTTTGGGCATAATCTTCAAAGGAATGAGGCCTGAAAATAACTTTGAGGTATTTCAGTAGAGATGAAGGCGAGGCAATTCAGCAATTCCCATATTGATGAGGATTCGAATGCACTTCATTGCTTGATCTGGACTAAAGTTCCTCCACGAATCATCTTTTTTCACGTCTGTCTGCCTGTCTAAAATATGCATCCTCGCCTATTTGTTGGTGTAGTCGCAGATCATGCTGGTCAGCTGTGCAGTGAAAGACAGCTGCAAGAAATTGACGACCTGGACGAAGTGCAATGCGTTACTCTGGAAAGCGCATCCGACTTCGACCCCAGGGTTTCGTCTCGAAAGAAACTGCACACGCTTGATAGATGCCGGCAAAGAATCATGTCCGTAGAAAGTCGAGACCCTCAAAATGAGTAAAATTTCTGCAAGTACATGCTCCGCCGACCGTGACTACTAATTAGGCAACAAAATGTGCACCCCACATACAACAGACACTCGCTCAATGTTGCGGCTTGACTTGACGCATCCTCGTCATCGGTGCTTAAATTCGATGTGTAGGCTCATTGTTGCTGATTTCATCCTCAAAATCTCCTGTTGAAGCACTCAATTCACGAGAAACGCATTGTCTTCTAGGAATGTAAACACGGAAAAATGATGCCATGATCGGCGCACTTGCACAACAACCCGAAACATTAGGTGCGAGAGTGAACGTCCCTGAAGCAAAAAACAACCAAAACAAGGTGGATCTCATGCGTTTCCTACTTTCTTACCTAGGTTGCATTAGGCACCCGCAAACTCCGCAAGCACGCGAAAATTTAAGCTTGAAATGCTTCGTTTAAATTGAAAAATTTAAATAGACGAGGTAGCAAAAGAATTAACTCACATTGGTGCAGACAAAATCAAAACAAACAAACAAAAACCTTTAACGACATGGAGGAAGCGCAGCCCGAGTCGACAGGGGACCCCTGTGACTCGACACTGGCCATAGCATTGTGGACCAAGGCAGGCAGGTGGAAGTTGAAAACACCAGGAGGGGAAGGGAAATTAAGAGAAAGCAGTGTGCAACAATAATAAATATAGGACAACAGCAAATCATGAATGCAAGAGGGAAAGCACGGAGGCTAGTGGCATGTTACAATGCGTCCAGTTATGTGCAGGTCGTCGTACAAAATGGGCAGCGCACCATCTTGCATTATACAGTAAAAGCTCATTAATTCGACACCCGTTAATTCGGAAATTCGGATAATTCGAACGGCTCTACTTGTCCCGGCCAAAGTGCATGTTAATATATGGGACCAAACCTTCGTTATTTCGTCGGGATTCGGCTCCGCACCGCTTAATTCGGACAAATGCTGACGGTTGCTGCTACACAAAAGTGTGATAAAGGAGCGCTGGCACCACTGGAGTGAAGCCGAAACCTGAGTGGCATCGCCATCATCATCAACTAGTGGGGGCGATCGCGGCGTCATTGAACGTTCACCGAACGTCGACGTCTTCTTTCTTTTCCACTCAGCGCCTCCGACGCCATTTTCCCTTGTGTTGTCGTGTCGGAACCATCTCTTCTTGCGGAGTTCTTTTTCTTCCATTGTGACCGTATTTGCATGCCACCACCATTGTGCGCTACAGTGATGGCAACGCCGAAAAAGCGGCAGAGTCCACCGACCGAGTCCACCGACGATAACTGCCCGACTTTCGATGCTGTCCTTCCCACAGATGTAATCTTTCAGGACTACATCGCGATTGATCATGGTGTCGCCACGAGTGGTCTCCTGACCGATCAAGAGATTATTAATGATGTCACGGGCGCCCATGAAGACCACGATTCCGAAGAAGAATCATGCGAGGAGATACAGCCGCGACCTCATCGCACCTCACGGGAAGTCTCGGAGGCGCTATTAATATTAGAGGACGCTTGCCTGAACACTCCCGACAGCTTGCGTGCTGTTGGCCATTTGGAACAGTTAAGAAAAATTATGATGTCAGCCGGAATCTGCGCGAAAACGCAGACGACAATTACAAAATACTTCAACAAAAAAAGGTATGCTTCTGCAGCTTGATTTTAAATGTTGTTTTCCCTGTTCATTCGTTAATTCGGCATTCAGTTAATTCAGACAGTTTTTCCGGTCCCGTGAAATCCGAATTAACGAGCTTTTACTGTATAACCAAAGTTTTTCGTATAAAGCCTCAATGGGAAATTTTTATACCACAAATACTTGTAAAACTTGATATCGGAAAATTTGGGGACACATAACCAGGATTACACTAAATAAGAAAGTATGAAATTTCAGTTGATATTTTGAAGCAATTTGTGATATGAAATTCCTAGTGCTAAAACATTTAACACTGAAACATGGGGGTTTTAGACCACAGATTTTTCACGTGTTTGTTTATTACAAGAATATTATTTTGAGGTTTGTACAAAGGAGCTTTTATCCAACCATACAATGCAAGCAAATAAGCTACGCGCAGTAGTACTCTCAAATTAGAAACATACATTACACAGCTACATTATCAAGCTTCCATGACATGAAGCAATCATCTGACCTGTAGACAGAAGTGCGTCAGGAGGGCTGACTGTTGTCACCGGGTCAGAGCAGCCAGGAGGCATAGCACGCTTCATCAAGCGGCCCCAAGTAGCCACATTGATGTTCATTTGTGTTGGCCGGAGAAAGTTCTTTCCTGTAAAACATCAGGCATTTTAATGACACTGGAAATTGATTATCAAATGGGTATATTTAACAGAGCCACAAAAGATATGCTTTGAACATATATCTGCAAACAAAAGCACAGTGAGATGCACGGGAAGCAATAAATTTTTATGCGACTGAGAATCGGCACATACATATGTTAATTAAAACTGTGTGAATTAACATTACCAAACCACTCAACACCATTTAGGTAAACAGCAGAGCTATCCTGATAATTCATACAAATAATATAAACTCTCTGGCCACTTTTAGTCCAAAGTTTCAAGTGTTAAAATCAAAAACTAAAGGCTGACCCAGCCATGTCGGGATCGATTCAGTCTCTTCTTCAGGGGCAACGCTGAAGAAGGGACCCAATGGCTCATATTTTAGAACACCAACTATAAATGCCGAAAACTTACTATACTTTTGAACAACTTTTCTTGGCGAAAAGCTACGTGACAGAGCGAAGTAGTCCCTATTGGCACACGTCTCTTACCGCTACGGAAAGTGGTAGATTCTAACAATGAGCGTTTGTTTCAACGAAGGCTCTGCTTTGCGTTTGAGGCAGACGTAAAAAGTGGGACTTTCTCACGTGTCCAAAAATTCACAGTGACAATGCATAAAATTAAATAAATAAAAATATCTCACTAATGTGCACTGTGTTCTGTCTCAATGAGATACACGGGGAAAATAAAGGAGCAATTTTTATATACCCATAGGAAATATGAACACAAGTGTGAAACTCGATTCATTGATGGTAGGTTATGCATGATTTGTTTCTGAAGCCTTGACTTCATTGCTGAAAACAGTTTTCCGCAAGTATAGAAAGTGTACAGAAAAATGTTTCATCACTGAAAAACTAGAACCTGACAAACCGAATCCAATGTCCAAACCCTAGTAATTGTTTACTTCGAATTTTTGATTGATTTGATTAATTTGTGGGGTTTAACGTCCCAAAACTACCATATTATTATGAGAGACACCGTAGTGGAGGGCTCCGGATCAACTGAAAGTGAGCCAATGTATTTGAAGAAGGAGAAAAAAAGAGTATTCAAGGTCATGACATGCACTGACCTAGCTTCTTGCCCGATGTACCCCCCACCTCTTCCATTCTTTTGCTTCAAGAAGAAAAGAGAAAAAGCTTAGAAAGTGTGTGATATGTCCCTGATACTCTGTTCATACTTGATGGATTAGAAAAATCTGAGTGGCAATCAATTTGTGAGGCAATAAGCTACAATAGTGAGGCCGATAATTACTTGGTGTTGCAGGCCCCTTTAACTTCTCATTCTCTTGTGTCTGAAGGTTTACTGTGTTGTGTATAATAATGTTTTCTGAAAATATCATTGCCACACAGTAGCACCAGAACGACCCTTGCAATATGTTTTGACGATTGTGTACAAACCTATTCTGCTGGTACAGTCAAACTAGACATTATTGCACTCAGGTAAATTGAATGGTCCTTTATACATCAATGCATAAGAAAATCTATGGATACATTGAACGAAAAGAGCAAGAACACTCCACATATCTAACTTTATTAATAAGCATGAAATTATTTTAAGAATTTATAGGTTGGCCTTCCCTCTCAAAAGTTGACTTCTCCTCATAGAAGGGGTCTTTTCTGCCTGCATATAGGAGAGTGCAGTGTGGCTAGAAAGACGCCATGCAAAGCAGATGGAAACTAATGCTTGCCATCACGCTTTCAACGTGCGAGCATTAAAGAGGTCGTTTAGCAGAAATTCCAACCCAGTCGTCATTGATTGTGAGCAAAAAATTATTTTGTCAGTGACCGAAAGATGCAAATAAGATAAATAATAAAAACTTTCCGATACCGGGTGAAGATTGAACCCAGGCTGTTTATGCACCAAGCAGAGGTGCTCTACCACACAGCTGCCAGTATGCTTTGAAATGCAGTGAAAATAACGTTTTTACAAAAGGCACACAGGTCACTACGCATGTTCCATTAAGACCATGTAGTGGGTGCATAGCAAGGTCGAAAATATTTCAGACGCATAATAGCTCACGATTTTAAGAATGCTACCTGTTACACCGAATGCAGCCACATGCGAAATCTTCACTGACACAAGCCACTTTCAACTTCACAAATTATACTGTAGTAATCCACGAGTAAAATCATACAGTAAAAAGCGTTCCCTAGGTGCACAGTGGAGACAGGATATCGCTATCGCAATTATTCAATTTAATTCAATTCAATCCAAGTGTAGTTAAGGGTCCCCAATTTTTTTATTCAATGAATCCTTCTCACAGTGCTCATAGGCCCATTGTGTGCAGTAACCATTTGATTCATTAAAAAACAAAAGGCAATCAGAAACTACTTTGATATATGTCCACGGTAGACATATATAGAAAGTAAAGAACAGTCTTCTATGAGATGTGCTGCTTACATTGATACACTGTAACGCACCCCTGCATACAGACATATAGACCTTTGCATCGGGCGAAGGGGTCCGGTCTGGCAACAAACGCATTCCTCCTCTCTGGTATGCGGATGACGGCGTGGAGTGTGTGTGTTGATGCTGGTATGTGTGGCGTTATCAGGCAATTAGCCGTGTATTAAACCAACCTGCGGATTTTGTTTTTCTTCATTGCTACGATGGCTAAGAATTGGTCATCAGGGAACCACTGTGCTGTTTTAGGGTGCAGTAACAACTACAGAAAACGGAAAGTGCTGTCGAAAGAAATATGACATGCGCATCACCAGACGTGGAGTTTTTGTGGCTGTGGTTGCATCGTTTTCCTGTTGACGATGAACAGCGACTTCTATGGCTTGCAAACTTAAACAGGAAAACTTTGTACCTTCTGCGGGTACTCGTGTATGTTCAGAGCACTTCTTCTCAGGCAGACGAACCTCAACGAATTCAACACCGATGCTCAACCTTGGTTATGAACGGAAGGTACGCAGTCTAGAGCTATTCCAATGATGACAAAGTTTCCCCCGATAAACAGCCCCACGGCACCGAGAGTCACTCAAATATCGCAATTAAAAAAAGATGAACAGGGGAGGCGCGGGCACGTCAGCGTCGTTTGATGCAAGAACTTTACTCAAGTGCACACCTGTAAAAACAAACGAGCGAGCAAGATACGGTCACTTCTTCACATTTCAGAAACAATTTAGACAACAATTAGTGCGCAGTTAACAAAAACTGTCAGTGCCATGAAATAAAGGCGAACCACCACACTCCAATGCACGGCTTCATGCAAGAGCGGTAGCCGATGCGACGGAGTGGCATAAAGAAATCTTGTTAGAAAAGCGAATGACCACAGTTCAAGAAAGATATTCACTATGCTCTCGAAGTGTTGTAGCTCATTCTGGAAAAGAAATACCAGAAAATACAATGCATTCTTCGAGCAGAAAGTCGGTACTATGAATGTACTGCATGAACAGAGGCAGACTCGTTTGTGGCACTGTATAATAAAACGATTCACTCTCAACGACTTCAACCTTGTCAAAACGTCTCATAGACTAATTTTCTAGAAAAGCTGCATCACTTCAGTCGAAATTCACCGCATAAGAAACCATGTTAAAGGAGAAAATACGATGAAACCGCAGCCACACGCTTAAGCTTCCAGCATGCTAGATTGGCTGCCAGATCAGAAAAGAGCCGCCCACTAGCAAGATGGCGGCGCCCCCGAAAAAACAGTCTATCACCTGCAAGCCACTACAATCTGTGGAAAAAGAAATCCCCATATGTTGCCATGAAGTCAGCTTCCTCGTATTATTAAGAATGCTGCGAAGCCAATTTGCGCACCGAAGATCCGACAAATTAAATTTTTTGTATCACATCTAATGCACTTTGCAGCTAAATGTTCCTACTCTCAGCTTTGTCTTTTGCTGCCACTCCCTTTGTGATCAGATTAGTTGATCACCTTGGCGACTAGCAGATTTGTAGCACCAGTAGTCTTGTTCTGAATTAGCACGATTTCACCGATCACTCAAAACACTTCATACACTACATTGTATCTGAATGCGCACCTATTCCACACTTTACACTTTAGTTCTGACCAGCTATCTAGAATCATTAGAAAAAACACTATGCACCTTAACAAGACAGCAAAAAAAAAAAAAAAGGGGGAGGGGGAAAAAACTCACCATCCAACACAAACAGTATGCCTTAATACTGTGTTTGTGACAGTGTCTAGTCAATATGGCTACTACAGAGTCATTTCCTGTAGACCTTTCCTAAAAGCGTGGGCTGAGCCATAGCCTATGAATGGCAGGCCAGTGTTTCCTTTTTCCATGGGCTAACAATGCCAGTGCTTCCTGGTACAGCGCGTCTTAAACCAGCAGCATCTCTACGATCAGTGTAACCTGAGCTGAAACTGTGTATGACTGCCTGAATTAGGAAAATAATTGTATTGAAGCACCATCCTGGCAGCTTGGCATGCAATGGCACAATCTTCACTGGCCCAATCTGCACAGCACTTGAATCCCTGTATCCCCCCCAAAAAATATTTACCTTTGTGAATGAAAACAATCTGCACTGGCACAATCTGCACAGCACTTGAATCCCTGTATCCCCCTAAAAATAAAAAATTTACCTTTGTGAATGAAAAGTTTTCGCTGTCGCTGTAGACGCGGTTTTCTTGAGATCATTGGGTTCAGAAACTTAATCTGGAAAAAATAAATAAGGTGTGAAAAGACGCCATAACAAAGTTGAAACGTAAGCTTGCACAGGAGCAGGTCAAAGATATAAAAAATGGCCAACCTAGAAAGGACTGGCAATTGATCTTTAAGAACTCACTTTTTAGGAAAGTATTCTACAGGGCTGACTTCCAATAAATTTTACCATAACAACTGTAATGTAAAGTTAGACCTGCCTATCACGAACCTCCATATAAAGAATTCCTCAATATTACAAGTTTTTCTGGTCCCCACCGTTACTCCATAGAAGCACAAGTATTTGCGACCTCTATATAACAAAGTAACAGCAGAAAACATCCTTAATACACTCGACTCAACTTAATTCAAATTTTTAGGAAAACTACTGTGAACATGACCAAAAAAATCAGTACGCTTTCCTTTGTCATAAGCGCACTCTAGCTCACCGCACTTTGCATGAACTGCACCATAGAAAACACTGTGCGCATACAAGGGATCACAAGAATAAAGAATAAAAAAAGAAGAAGAAACAAAAAAGAAAGAAGAGAAAGGAAATTGCTCATTTTGGCAGCTACAGTGCCTAATCTGTGTTTTACCAACACTACTTGGCCCAAAAAACCAATAAATAGGAATTGTGTGCTCGAGCAGACTTATGTTCTTCAAGGTGAGAACAGAACAGTTCTGTTCTCGCGTTGAGGAAGACAAGACCGCTTGTCAAAATGTCAGCTGGAGCACACAACCCCCGTTTACAGTTCTGTAGTGTTCTAGATTGGCCAAGAAAGTAATTTAGTTAGCATGGACGATGAGAAAGGTGCAAATCATGCTAAATATGCTGAAGTTTGCAAGGGCTTCTTGTTCTTTTCACTGCCACGTGCCACCACCTTGGCATGGTTTAAAAGCTTGAACTTCTGCCTTTTCGTTTTTTATCACAATGGCCAATTTGGAAAATGGCCCCACTTTTTCACCCTGCTGTTAGGGTGACTGTAGGAAGCAGTGTTCAGTTCTCGGCTGGGTGTATTCATAATGGGCTACGCCTACCCTTCTCCGTTGCCAAATTGGATGAGAAGACCCAGCAAATTGAAATAAGAGCTGCTGTATGCACACAGGCTCACATTTTTATGCTGTAGACTTCATTCCGACTAGAGTCCTCATGAATAATTTAGGAACGTATTCTACAGGGCTGAATTCCAATAAGTTTTACCATAACAACTGTAATGCAAAGTTAGACTTGCCTAGCACGAACTTCCATATAAAGAATTGCTCGATATTACAAAGTTTTTCTATTCCACACCGTTACTCCATAGAAGCACATGTATTTGCAACCTCTATGTAACAAAGTAACAGCGGAAAACATCTTTAATACAGTCGACTCTCTTTAATTCAAATTCGAAGGAACCTCTGAATTTCATTTTAATTATCAAGAAGTTTAAATTATCAAAAGTTTTCAGATACGTACACGACTCCGGGTGAGGTGACACCACACATTACGATTGTACATCGATTTTATCACATTTAAAAATTTCAAGTGTTTTTAAACCATAACTGCATGCAATAAACAGAAAGCAGAGATACAAGTAAATGGCCAAGTTTATTGGCCATTTACTGATCAGACCTTGCAAAAAAAATTGTTAATTTCCGACTGCTTCTTTTCTATATGAGCCTTCAGCATAAAGCTCTCTATACCAATTGAGAAGCACCACAGTTAGTTTACCATGCATGTGCTTCGTTTCAAACATTTGTTTACTAGTAAAACCTTTTTCCTTGAGGCCTGAGGCACTTATTTATTTTTAGGCTGTTAGGATTATATAAGCATGCAAACTTTTAATGGTGCTGGAAAAGCAGCTGATTTTTTTTTTATGGAAGTGTAAGAAGTATGAAGTGACCGAATGATGTGGTTTGAATTAAGAGGCTTTTAAATATATTGAATTGAATTTTGTTTGAATTAACCAAAAGTATGAATTATCAGATTTTGAATTATCGCGAGTCTCTTGTATAACAAATTTTTGCCATAGACAGTATGCGAATATTGTCTCAGATTTTGTCATTCTGGCACGAATTGCATCGTCCCTGAAACAGTGGCGGTGCGCTCCTGGCCCCAGCGACTCCGACGTGAAAGCAAGCGTTTCTTAATGCGCGCGGGTGTGCCCGAGGCGAGCAGGCGGGCCTGCGCTCCTTGAATCGGCAGGATCTTGCCACCACGGGCACATGCGCGGGTGCGCCCTCCGCCTACACCCTAAAAAAAAAAAAAAAAAAAAAAAAAAAAAAAAAAAAAAGGACTTTTTTGTTGGCAGTGCCACTGTTGGATTGCTGCAGAACCCTCTTAACAGCACTCGCGATGACACAGGTGTGATGCCACTTTGCATTGTTATGTTTTTAGTTAACGTTACATATGTGGGGATACGTTGTATACCGAGAGCGTTTTACACAGTAGTTTTCTGCGATATCTGTGTCGCGCTCTCCGCGTCATTCACTCTGCGTTTTTAAAGCTGTGTGCGTAGTTTCACTGCACACACATGAAGTGGCCCCCAACGACGTTCAGTTTTGCTTTTTTTTTTTTTCAACGCAGACAACCGTGCTGTTACTACCGAGGAGATGTGAGATTAGTAGTTCTGTGGGAATAGTGAATTTTCAGTTCGAAGCGAATAGTGATTTTGATCGAATAACTTTGAATTGACTTCGAATGCTATGTATGACATATAAAAAAGAGGGAATATTTATAATGACCACACTAACTTGCACAATATTGCTTTTGAATTGAAATAGGGGCTCTATGCAAATGCCATTTTTTTTTTCGGTCAAAGGAAGTCGAAACAACCGTGAGTAGTAATTTCAGTAGGATATGAGGATGTGAGCATATAAGCGATCATAACAAGTTAGGCTGGCTCGTTTGATCTCTGATTCAGCAGCTCTTGTGCACCCAGTCTAAAAGTTGAGATGCACCTGGGCATGTTCTCAATTTGAACTTTAGGAAGTCTGGCCGCTATGGGCACCGAAGTCCACCACCTCCACTGCCATAGCAATCATTAGCATTCCTTCATTTACTACCAGCCTTGTACTGTGAGCAACCTCAAATTGCATTCTTGTTGTCTTATGAATCTACTAGGGTACTTTTCTCAGTGAAAATGACCGGTAGCTGACGTCAGTCCACTATAGTGTTCCAGTAGACAGCAATCAAGTTTGCAGGGATGGAGGCGGGCTTCAGTCTTTTGAAGCAGATTTGGAGCAGTAAAAGAGGAGTTTTGGAGCAGCTCTGGAGCACCAAAAGATGTATTTCGGAGCATCAAAATTTAGTTTTGGAGCAGATTTCTCAGGTCACACATCACTGTTAAAGCTCTCGCTTTCTCATAAAACAAAAAAAAATTCATTGGTTTTTACTAAGCATTCAATGCTGATCAAGTGACCAGACTTATCCCAAATTGATAAATATATTGAATAATATATTAAATCGTACAACATCAAAGCTGAAAGCACAGTAACTCAAAGAAAAAACATATGCGGCACTCTGGACAGCTACCAGACCTTGGAAGAATGAAAAAAAAATTTATGTTAAAATGTGGCAATGTTCAAAATGTGAATAAAACACCGCATGAACAGCAAGTCAATCAGACGAGAGGTGAACTAGTAAAAACTATTTTCACACTAAACCAATAGGGCTCTATAAAATTAGTGTACAGAATTTATATTCTGGTCACTGAAGTGCTACAGCTAACATGAGAACTGTGAGGAAATTTAGATGAGCTCTCCTTGCAATTAAGTAATTTTTTTTATTATGATATGAACTATATGGACACTCAACGGGTTCTTCCCATCGTTGCCACGTTCCGCGTAAACTACAAGTTGGTAACGATTCCCGCGCATCATACATTCTACCTACGCGTAAGATTGCGCAAGCTGGGGTGGTGAGCGCTGCTCACGTAGAGATTAAACGAGGCAGCGGATCTCCGTCCCTCGCTTGGAGGGCGACGCAAACGGTAGTATCCTAGAGCGTGTTACACCTGCCGTCGAATGCTCAAGCAGAGATAAAACATGCCGCCCGTCAACGAGCATGAAAAAAAAAAGACCCGGGGAAAGAAAGGGGGGGGGGGTCTAAGGCTAGATTCTAAGGCGTGGTTGCGATAAGCTGGTGCGCGCGCTATCGTCAAGCATTAGCACGCGGCTCGTAATCTCTTCTACGTGGTGAGCTCTCAACAGGAAGAGATTGTGCGATAAGAGCATTTCTCCCTGGAGTGGCCATCTTTATTCTTTAACACCAGCATTTTGTAGAGTGTTGCGATGTTGACGAAGGCAGCAGCCGCAGTTTTCACGAGTGAACTTTTCATTTGGGTGAAACTGTGCCCGGGAAAGGAAACGTCACTCTTGAGCAATACACGCTGTAGACTGGTAACAGCAAACAAGACTGTCAGCTGTCGATAATCTGCCAAGCAGCAAAGTGCGTCGGCATTTATACATATGCCATCAAAGATTCCAGCGTTATCGCTAGCGGCCGCGTAAGTTCCAGAACTCTAATGTAGGCGTTGTGCGCGTAACTTCATCAGAAGGTTCCAAGATTATCTAGATTGTTCACAGTCATTCGGGCACGGGTTGCGCAAGGCATCGTTACTACACGCGTAATGGTGTGGTAGCAAAAACAGAAAGGAGCGTGTGCGGCATTACCATTACAACATTAAAAATTCTTGCTATTACAGTCATTACTTCGCCACTGAAAAAAAGATGTTTAGTTTTTTTTTTGTTTATATGATTCGGCTAACAGATTTGCTGTTAGAACATATATAGAATCGCATAATGAGGTATGCATACAAATGCCACCTTAACAAGATTCACGCATGAACCGAAATACGATGTTACTAGTGGAACAGAACCAATAGACCTGACCGAACTAATTTGATATGGACGCGGTTGCGTCAGTGTAGCACATGCGTGTTGCTTGGTCGATGATAAAACTAGACTAAATTTGGCCTTACACATGCAAATTGTTGTTTAGGCTCAGCAGGTCAAATTGGCGCAAAATGGCGCAAAATGGCACAGCACTTCTACCCCCGAGTTTGTGAAGGCACGCAGCAATCTGGTAGACCACTGTAAACATCCAAATGTGTGAAGTGTGTTAAAAACATGTTGGGACACGAGCATAAATGATTATGAGCAAGATTCGAGAGTCAAACAAATTTTATCTGTGCAAATCCAGCTGGATATATTTTCTTTGTTGCTTGATGTGATGTGAGCAGCTCAGTGGCATGTACAGCTATAACTGGCTGGCAGATTGCGTGCACAACATAAGTGTGAACAACTGGTCGGTTCGGATGGATGACACGATGACCCGCAGAAGTCGGAAGAAAAGTTTGTTTCAATGCAAGACTAGAGGCTAGAGATGAAGAAAGCGGAGCTTATCCTGGGAGCTTCACTTATGGCATGATTGCTACCAGTGACCTCAGAGTGAATCATAATTTGAACTGTCCAGATGGTTGCGACGTTTTACAGTGATAATGCTTGAGTCCATTGTTTAGCTTTCTGCCATATCAAACTTGCAAGTAACCATGCACATTAATAAATGAAATTGTCACTTTGAATTTGAAAGTCTAGTCACAGGACCGTAAAGGTGCCTTTTGATACAATTTTTTTTTCGGTTTTCAGTAATTCTAGTGTGGGTGAATGATGATGACCTATTATTGCAATTTTTACGGTAGTTCCCGCATGACGCTATGCACAGTAATCATGAATTGAAACAAAATAGTTTTTTTTCTCAGTAGAACAAAAGCTATGATGGCCGGCCATAACCAAGCCATGTAACAACAAATCTAACTGCCAAAGGTAATGTTGGCTCTGAAAGTCAGACAGTACAGTACTTAGCCCTAAATTTGATTTCAAGTCCACCATCATTACTGTACATTACCGTTACAGGACTGGCAATTGATTTTAAAAAACTTTCTTTTTTATACAATACTTTTATATTCTTTTATAGAATACTCCAGCTTCTATGAGAAGCCGGGGCAAAAAAAGCTAAGAGAAAGAGAAAACTGACCCTCAGCCCTGTTTTTTTTTTTTTTTTTTTTTCACTCAGTAGCTAGAATACTTTTTAGCACGCAGTGAATAAAACTGTGAAAATTCATCCTTAAAGATTCCCCCCCCCCCCCAAAAAAAAAACTAAATACAGAAATGCTTACCTCCGCAAAGAGAAGTCCCTTAGGTTCCAGATGGAGCGCCATGCCATGCCTGTCATCATCAATGAACTCTTCCAGACGGAGAAATTTTACGGCACACATGCCACGCCAATCTTTCCAGTATATCTGGATCTCCAGTTCTCGGGACTGTATTTGAAAACCAAGGAAGGGACGAAAAGAGAATAAAGAGAGAGAGAGTTCTATCACTCCAACCTGCCTTACTAGTTTCTTGATGAACCAATTTTAAAAACTCAAGTTTCGAGACACAATTCATTCTATAATGCATTGCTAACATTTCATGCAAGGTTACAGCAGAGTAAGATCAAGACACAAACGGTGAAACTTCAATACAATGAAGTCAGTTAACTCAGCAATTTGATTTATTAAATTAAAAGTTTGTTAGTGAAATTCAAAATTTTATGCAACATGTATAACCACTGAGGATTCATTTTTATGCCAAAATTGTTCAATATATTCAAATAATAAGGCAGCATAGGACATAACTAGCTTCACTAACATAAAAGAAAGCATTCCTGAATCTGATATCTACTTGCCACAACTTGATTCATCATAAGTGAAGTCCTATTCACAATGACATTATGCAAGGTCGAAAGAAATACACACTCAAACCTTAGTATATATAACAAACACTGATATATCAAAATATCAGTTATAATGAAGTGAATGAAGAATAGTGAATAGTATAAAAGTGGATAGTGTTAGAAATATACATTTACAACAAGCTTTTGCATATACTCAACTTATTTTTGAGTAAGATGCTACATGGTTAAAATGAGGGTTGAGTGTAGATTCAATGCACTGCACGTACCATATTTTCTTACATATATCCTTCACAAAATGTACAGAAAGTTGGCGCTAAAGTCGGAGTGCAAATTATATGAGTATTTCGGTGCACATGTTGACTTCATGTCACCAAGTCACAGTGATGCAAAGGCGGTTTCAAGGCGGTATCGGTGAGCTGCATCACCAAGCTTTAAAAGCCATATTTGGATGAATTGCAATGGTTGGGCTTGTGTGATGTGCCGACCGCGCCAGTGTCCTGTAAGGGCGCGTACATGAATCTGATATGGGACTTTCCTGAAAGTGCCTGCTGGAGGCAAAGCGCAGTGCGGGACGTGCGGAGTTGTTTTGAAGACGCCTACTGGTACCCACGACGACGCTTGTCACCCACTTGAAGACACACCCAGGCAAGTATAAAGAGTACATGGAATTGCATCAGCTTTACAGTTTTCCGAAAAAGAAAAGTGAACCAAAGGGGCTATCATCGCAGCTAACCGTGACCAGCTTGTTTAAGCCTACACTTCAGCCGTCATTGGTAAAAGCACAAGAGATGACTAAAAAGATTGCAGCGTTCATTGCCTGCGGCCTGCAGCCATACAGCGTGGTCGAGGAACCGAGCTTCATCGAGATGATGCGATGTGCAATTCCAAAGTACGTCGTCCCGTCGCGGAAGACCTTTTCACGAACGGTCATTCCGGATTTGTACGCGGCCAAAAAAAAATGAACTGAAGAAGCACATTATGGCCGTATTTGACGACGGTGGTGCTGAGTGCTTCACTTTAACAGCGGATGGGTGGACATCGAGGGCCGGCGACAGCTACGTGTGTGTTACGGCCCACATGATGGATCGCGACTTTAGGCAGCACGCTTATGCCCTCGCCTGCAAACCAATGCCGCAGGAGCATACTGGAGAAAATATAGTTCAGTTTCTCCGAGACGTGATCGAAGAGTGGGGTTTGTCTGACAACATCCAGACTTTTGTCATTACCGACAACGGCAGGAACTTCGTATCAGCTGTTGCCAAATCCAACTGGTCAGGACTCCTCTGCTTTGCACATACCCTGCAGCTGTGCATAAAGGACGCCAAAAGAGAAGTGGCAAGTTTTTCGCAACTTTGTGCGAAGTGTCGATCGATTGTAGGTTGCTACAAAAGAAGCGCACGTGCATGTGCACGGCTTATGGACATACAAAAGAACATGCACATGGCCCAGCATGAAGTGATTCAAGACGTTCTCACACGCTGGAACAGCGAGTATGCCATGATGGAGAGACTCGTCGAACTTCGTGCCCCAATTTCAGTTGAACTTTGCGATTCGGATGTGGACAACTTAAACTTAAGCTCCAGAGAATGGAAATTAATGGCTGCGGCTGTAAAAGTGTTGCCCGCTATCCCACACTTTCTCAAGTGATACCTCTCATGCATTGTGCGCAAGTGGTGCTACATAAGCATGCGTCTCAAGGCGAGGAAGCAGCATCGTTTGCAAGGAGCCTTCTGCGCAGTCTTGCCACAAGGTTCCCTGGCTTGAAAATGGCAAATGTGCCGGCAAATTCAATGCTAGTTGACCCTCGCTACAAAGACAATTGCTACACAGAAGACAGTCAAAAAGAGTGGGCAAAAGCCGCACTTGCAGCTGCAGCAAATGAGCTAATGCCAGCCCAAAACGAATGTTCCCAGGCACCTGTCTGCTCAGCCATGGAGAAGCCCCCAGCTAACACTCTTTGGAGTGTTTTTTCTTCATTAACCTCTAATGTACTGCAAGACAACGCGCGCGAAAGTGTCCCTTCTCAAATGGCAGAATACTTGGGCGCCCCTGTGCTTCCCCGGTCACAAAACCCTTTGGAGTGGTGGAAGACCCATGGCAGCCGACTGTACCCAGCACTGGCCAAGGTGGCACAAAAGTACCTCTCAATTCCTGCCACACAGGCAAGGAGCGAGAGGCTGTTTTCAACAGCAGGGAATGTTGTCAGCAGCTGGCGGGAACTGCTGCTCCCAGACCATGTGGAGCAGCTGGTACTTTTGCATGAAAACTTGCGAGTGCAGTAAAAAAAAGTGAGATTTGCGAATAAAATTCAACTATTAACAATTTTCAATTTCACAAAATGCTGTGCCTACATGAGTTCTAATTCCTTTAAAAAAAGTTGTGTAAATTAGTCGGGCCACGAAGAAATGCTAATTTTTCTTTATAATATGTGATGTACACTATTGGAACTATTCGATTAGAAATTATTCGACCAAATCATTATTCGCTTCGAATGTCAAATCCACTATTCGCCCATCCCTACTCATGTAATAAATAACAACTATGGTTTAACGAGCCTTACATCTGCTGTGGTGGCTAGGTTATATATACAGTCACCGACACATTTTTCGGACTCCAAAACTTTCGACTTGTTGGATATTTTAAATATCACAAATGCACCATCATAGTTCCTATTGCACTACACTCAAACTTCATTATTTATAACAGACTTGCATGTTACACAAAATAAAGCTCGTTGTATCCAAAAATTCGTCATAAAGATGTAATGATGCTGATTGATTTCTCATTCACTTCATTATAACAAATAATTTGTTATATCTGTGTTCATTATATTGAGATTTTAGTGCAATTCATTCTTGCAACCAATTTTTCGGACCAATTTATGTTCCAAAGTTAGATTTTCCGGACTAAATTGTCTGTTCTGAGCTATGCCACTAGATTTTCAAAGCTGCCATGTTGAATTTTTTGTAGCCTTGGTCAGAGTTTGGCTTGCAGTGGCTAATTATGTGGCCTCCAAGATTGCAATCGCGCACTATCATCTAGTTTTGGAGGCCATGTCTGATCTTTCTTCGCTTTCAAAACGGCAAAAGGTTGTTTGTATTTTCTGGGCGTTTGTTTTTCTGGTCATCATTGCACACGTGGTCGTGTTGGTGGTGTGCCTAGTGTGTTTGAGCCATCGTGCGCGTCATATGGTTGCTAGTGTTTGTGATTGCTCAGTAGCACTCCGTGGTAACGGTGCTCGGCTACTGACATGAAAGACGTGGGTTTGATCGCGGTCGCGGTAGTAGCATTTTGACGGTGGCGAATCACTGGAGGCTCACGTGCTGTGCTGTGTCGGTACAGGTAAAAGAAGCCCATACCGTGCCGTTAAACCTTACCAAACAGGTGAGAAGCTGCATGCATCTTTTTGTGGCCGGCATCAAGTTTTGTTTGCTTGGTTTCATGAAGCCATGAACTTTGCCGCCCGCAACAGTCGGCTACAGCGATTGCCAATGCGCTTGACAGCGATGTTACCATAGCTCAAATACAGCAGGATTCGCTCGTCCCTAAGAATAGCTTGAAGCATAGCATTATTGGAGATCTGTTTAAGGTTTTTTTTTAACCCCAATAAACTTCATTTTTTGATGACTTGACCATTTATTTCGGACTGTTCTACTTTTTGGACTATTTCGTGGTCCCCGCTAGGTACGAAAAATCGGTCGGCTACAGTACATCAACCTGAAATACCCAGTTAAGCGGGTGTTCAGAATGCAGGTAGCCACAATAGTGGCTCAATTGTTACAGAGTTGCACAAGTTTGCACTTTGGACCCTCATTTATATCTCCTTTCCTATAGTATGAACTATTGTTACTGTAAATTTACCCACTACATTCATTATCTATTAAAAAAAAATTCTGCAGGTGCTCACGTTGGCCTTGTAACAACATTTAGTACTTTGATGGTTAGAGTGCTCCCCAATGGTTTTGTTTTTATCCTTTATTTAAACCCAAAAAACAAGCTAAACAGCTGGCAAAAGACCACTACATGAATAGTGCACGCTTACCCTATCGAGGGTTATAGTGAACCTCTGGTCCCATGCTTGCTGACTACATGGTTTGTAGGTGGTCTGGCCAACCTGAACGTTGTCAAGCTTTAGAACAGCCATGATTTCACCTGAAAATGATAAGGACAACGATTATATGATAACACCACCGTAGAGAAAGAACTCTAACCATAATCCTAGTTCATTCAAGCACATAAACCCAAGCTAAACTAACTACTAAGCAAATTTAAATTTAAATCAGATGTTTTACAAGCGAAAACCAGAGTACTGACAGATATACTCATCTCTTTTCATTGTGACGATGTGTTATAGGCTGGAAACTGTTTACACATGCTGACACTGGGTGCAGGCCATACCTGAATGCACAGTTGAGCCGCTAATAACGAACTCGAGTATTAAGTGTCATGAACTCATTATATGCTAGTGTTCATATTACTATGAAATGTCACTGATTCTACCTCAATCATTTTGAAATACCGGCCTAATTCTAAGAATTTCCACGGTTCTATACTTTGCAATGCAAGTTTGAGTGGATATCTTCAAGTGGCAGTCAGCACCAGCTCAGTTAATTAAAACACTTTGGGTGCCATGTGCCAAGTTCCGATGCCGGCAACGCGGAAAATCCGCGGCAACAACAGCCCCTAGAAGCCACAAGGCATTGCGGTGAAGCTATACCAATGAGCGACAAGTGAAACACCCCAGCCTCGCTTCTGCAAACAGAAAAAACACACGTTCTAATGATTAACTGAAATGTGCACCTGTGTGTGCTTACTGCAACACACTAAGTGACACCCAGGCAGCATGTTCCATGCTTCTCGCAACTTAAGCGCGTCATGACTTACCCGTTCTTTCTGGAAATATGAATAAATTAGTAAGGGTCAGTCTGGCGGAATTCGCGACATATGTGAACCTCCGATTGCTGTTTGCTTCGACTATTTCGGTACTTAGATTGTTGCCAGAGTTCTTGCAAGCAGTACATATTTCAAAAACTCAGTTTGAAAGCTTCAATGGTCATCACCTACTCTATCACACTGGCCACTATTCCCGTATAAACCGGACTATAGGTCGAGTGGGAATATAGGTAGACCCCCCAAGTTTAAGTTACCGAAAAAAAAGGGAAAACAACCCAAAACTGCCGAACCACATTTATTTGCGAATTGGGCGCAGTGCACCCCGATAGTCGAAGCTCCCCTCAACCACCATCGCAACTGTTCTTATTCGTCCGACGAAGCACCACTGTCTTCTGAAGACGAGAGTTTGTCGCTGTCCGCCTCCCACAGTGCGTCATCTTCAGTGCCATCCAGCGAGTTGCTGATGCAACATTTCTTGAAAGCATTTTTCACCATGGAATCCGGCAAGGAACGCCAGGCGGAAAGCACCAAGCCACAAACAGTCGCAAGCGGAGGCCTCTGTAGGCGGCCCGTCGGTGTCTTGGGGTTGTCGCCGGCCATCCACTCTTAGTATTCCAGTCACACTCAGTCCTTGAACGGTTTGTTTAGCACAACGTCGAGCGACTGGAGGGTGGACGTCATACAACCTGGTATCACGGCGAGGTCCGTTTTCCTGTCGCTGAGTGCGCGTATCACTGTGGGGGTTAAGTTGCCATAAAACGCATCCAACACCAGCATGCTGCGAAGACGTAGTAGTGCACCTGGCCGACGGTTCCACACCACTCTTATCCATTCGAGCATCATGGCCTCGTCCATGTATCCCTTTTTGTTGACGCGAACGACAACACCGGGCGGGAACACTTCCTTCGGCATTGTCTTGCGTTTGAAAATGATAGAGGGCAGAAGCTTTCTACTATCTGCCGTGCATGCCAGCATGACGGTGAAGCGCGAGTGCTCGTTGCCAGTGGACAACAGCTTCACATCCTTGGCGCCGCGCTGCGCGATCGTGGTCGACGAAGGCATGTCAAACCACACGTGGGTCTCATAGGCATTGCCAATCTGCCCCATCATGTAGTCGTTCTGCCCTCGAAGCCGGTTCACGAAGCGCTGAAAGTTTATGAGCTTGTCCTCGAACTCCTCCGGCAACTTTTGACAGATGTATCTGCACCACCGGAGAGAAAATCCTTTGCGTTGCATAAATCGACGCACCCAAGAGTTTGATACACGAAACTCTTCTCTCGTGAGCCCAGCTTCTGCAGCTTCCCTTTCTGCGCCCTCCAATAGCGCACACTTTTTTCCGATACACCAAAGCGGCGCTGAGCAGCCATAGTCCCATTCGCATCTGCGAACTCAACAATATCTAGTTTAAACGCAGCTGAGTGAACGAAAAAAAAAAAAAAAAAGACCACTAAAAATGCAGCGCAATGTCAAGCGAAACGAAAACTCAGAACAGATCGGAAGAATCACGAACACAAAGAAAACAGACGGAGAAAAAAAAGCCTGCGATTGGATTTGGATTCAGATATGGCCGCGTCCGGCTTCTTAAGCACATGCAAGCCACATGTTGCCAGAGAGCGGTGCACTTTCAGCTAGACACCGCTATACAAGACGAGAGGCGACTTTAGCTTATTATTTTATTGAAAATATCTGTACTTATATTCAGGTTTATACGGTAAATTCTTTATGCACGAATGGTCGCATTATGACATGCTGACGTTGCAAGAAGCCAGAGAGCTGCTGCTTGTGTGTTAACCAGTACTGCATTGCAGTGAAGCACTCTCTTCTGCGGGCGCACAATATTAGCCGACCACAAAACCATTCATGATGGCGAATTTCACAGAGCAAGAACATCCCATTTTTTCTTATTTTTCCATTTTGTCCCATTTTTTTCTATACCACTATACACAGCCTTCATAGATTACGAGACGGCATTTGATTCAGTCTAGATATTGGCAGTCATGCAGATACTGCGGAATCAGGGCATTGGCGAAACAGATATAAACATCATAAACATTCTTGAAGAAATACACAGAGGATCAACAACCACCATTGTGCTCCATAAAGAAAGCAACGGAATGCTAATAAAATAGGGTGTAAAACAAGGAGATACAATCTCATCAGTGCTATTTACTGCATGCTTAAAGGAGGCTTCAAGAGGCCTAAAATGGGAAGAGTTAGGGCTACGAGTTAATGAAGAGTACCTTAGTACCTTTCGCTACGCCGATGACATTGCATTGCTGAAAAACTCAGGGGACGAATTGCAATTCATTATTACTGAATTATACAAGGAGAGCAGAAACGTAGGCCTTAAAATTATTTACAGAAAAGGAAAGTAATGCACAATAACCTCAGAAGAGAACAACACTTTCAGATAGGTAACAGTGCACTTGAAGTCGTAAAAGAGTACGACTACTTAAGACAGGTAGTAACTGCAGAACCGAACCACAAAATAGAAGTAACTAGAAGAATAAAATGGGGTGGAACACATTCAGCAAGCATTCTCAAATCATGAATGGTAGTCTACCACTGTTCCTCACGAGGAAAGTATATACAACAGCTACATCTTGCCGGTACTTACCTACAAAGCAGAAACCTGGAGGCTTACAAAGAGGGTTCCGCTTAAATTGAGGACGACGCAGCAAGCGATTGAAAAGAAAATGATGGGTGTAACCATAAAAGCAAGAAGAGAGCAGAGTGGGTCAGGGAACAAACAGGAGTTAAGGTTATCCTAGTTGAAATCAAGAAGAATAAATGAACATGGGCCGGGCACATAGGCAGGATAACCGCTAGTTATTAAGGGTAACTGATTGGATTCTCAAAGAAGGGAAACGGGTGAAGGAGAGACGGAAAGTTAGGTGGGCAGATGAGATTAGGAAGTCTGCGGGTATAAAGTGGCAGCAGCAAGCACAGGACCCAGTTCACTGGCGGAATGTTGGAAAGGACTTTGTCCTGCAGTGGGTGTAGTCAGGCTGATGATATGTATATATATATATATATATATATATATATATTGTTACGGGAGGGCACACAGAGAAACGAGGTTACAGCTAAGATATATTAGCACGACGCCAAGCCTAAGCTGAGACGGCAAGCGAGAGCGCGCCCCACATTCCAGAATCACGTCGTCTTTCTCACTGTCTCTCTTGCTTCTTCAGCGTATGTAGTCTTGTAACATGACCCCTAGGAGCAGAAGCACCGTCTCGGTGCTTTCTATGGTGTTGAGGAGTCTTAGAGCTTGATGCGGGAGACATGAACAATGTCTGTAGACAGTGGAGCGGAGAGAGATGACTTCAGCGGGGCTATCTTGTAGGTAACGTCGGTCACATGGCGCAAGACGCGGTAGGGTTCCGAGTACCGGAAAAGCAGCTTCTCAGAGAGACCAACGTGCCGAGTCGGGGTCCACAACAACACAAGGGAACCCGGGGCAAAGGAGACGTCGCGATGATGTGCGTCGTAACGTTGCTTCTGTTGCTCTTGCGATGCTAAGAGGCGCTTCCGAGCGACTTAGAGATAAGCAGGACTTTCTAGCTACATTACTAGTTCACAGTGTCACGGGTTTTACCCTTATTGCATTCACCGTCACTGGTACTGAGGCGGTATAGGGTCAGTACTGTGGTTTGTCTCGTGCTTTTCAAGCTCTGGTGATAGTGTCACGGGCGTATTCAGTCGGCGAATCGACAGCTGTTGGGAAGATGGTGTCGAAAGGTAGAGTTGGGTTGCGGCCAAAATAAGAGATAGAATGGTGAAAACCCAGTGGTATCGTGGCGTGAGGAATTGTATGCCAATGGAACAAAAGCAATGCAATGTCCCAGTCTAGGTGGTCAGAGGAGACATACATGGAGAGCATATCACTTAAAGTCCGGTTGAATCTTTCGGTAAGCCCATTAGTTTGTGGATGGTAGGCGTTCTTAAATTTATGTTTGGTTTCGCAAGAACGAAGCATGTCGTCAATAACTCTGGAGAGAAAATAGCGTCCACGATCTGTGAGGAGTTGGCATGGTCGCCATGATGGCAAAGCCCGCGTGATAGCGTACACAAGGAAATCGACATCTGTGGCACAGCTGGTTGGCAAAGCCCGCGTGATGGCGTACCGGGTTGTATGATCCGTAGCGACAGCAATCCATTTGTTTCCGGCGGTAGACTGAGGGAAAGGGCCTAGGAGATTAAGACCAACTGGAAAGGAGGAGTCAATAGGAAGATCAAATGGCTGAAGGAGTCCG